GGTGATCTTAATCATTTAGTTTCAGCTACCATGTCTGGTGTAACAACATGTCTTCGATTTCCAGGTAAAAGATCATCAATTCTTTGTTTTTGGTTGATCATTATTTTTATTCTTTTTCTTTTTGTTCAATTGAAATAGGTCAATTAAATGCTGATTTACGTAAATTAGCTGTAAACATGGTTCCATTTCCACGTTTACACTTTTTTATGCCTGGTTTCGCACCATTAACATCTCGCGGATCACAACAATATCGTGCATTAACTGTTCCTGAACTTACACAACAAATGTTTGATGCTAAGAATATGATGGCTGCATGTGATCCTCGACATGGTCGATATTTAACTGTCGCTGCAATGTTTCGCGGTCGAATGTCAATGAAAGAAGTTGATGAACAAATGTTAAATGTACAAAATAAAAATTCCTCGTATTTTGTTGAATGGATTCCAAATAATGTTAAAACAGCTGTTTGTGATATTCCACCTCGTGGACTAAAAATGTCAGCTACATTTATTGGTAAGATGAAGATAAACAAAATATTTTTATGAGTGTAAATAATTGTGATATATATATATATAATTGTAGGTAATAGCACAGCTATTCAAGAATTATTCAAACGTATTTCTGAACAATTTACTGCTATGTTTCGTCGAAAAGCTTTCTTACATTGGTATACAGGTGAAGGCATGGATGAAATGGTAAGTTAAGTTAAAATATAGATGAAAATAATATGATGAAAAATGTATTTTTTTTTTTGTGAATGTTATAGGAATTCACTGAAGCTGAATCAAATATGAATGATTTAGTAAGTGAATATCAACAATATCAAGATGCAACAGCCGAAGGTTAGTATTTTTGAATTTTGTTATTGTTTCTGTTAGATTTATGTATTTGATTTTTATTGTAGAAGAAGGCGAAGGTGCGGAGGGCGAAGAAGAAGAACATGCTTAAGGATCTGCAATCGTAAACAATTGAACATAAACTCATCTCTTTTTTTTTGGCAATATTGGTCATTCTATCTTACGTTCATCTACACATTTTTTTCTATTATTCTTTCTATTGTTTGTCATGTAGAAGTGATTTGTAAAACCTAAATCAATTTTTGTTTCTCTTGATCAAATTGTGTTTTATCCTTGCTATTTCTCAGTACAAGAATAAAAATAAATAAAGTCTAACAAAAGACAAAAATAAATTTCAAATCATCTATATCTCATTCCAGATAATGGAGGAGAAAAGATGACGAACTTTGGCTTTTTGTTGGTATTATTAGTTATTTATCGAGTGGAATGTTCTCAAGAAGGTACGTTTATTTTCAATGTTTTCATATTTCTTACGATATTTGTACAAAGATCTATCAATAGCTATAATAAGTTTACAGAATGTAGATCTTAAAATATTCTGAACGATTAAGACAAACATTATTTTGCGTTGACAGACATATTTGATTATCTATGCGATCAAACATCTTTCTATATATGTTTAGATTATGTATGTAAATAGTATCGTGTCATTAAATCATGTTTATTTGGAAATGAGAGGGTTCTTTTTCTATTAGTTGATCATATTACAAAGTTTGATTACATGAAAACATTAGTATTTCGTTTTCTGTAGATATCTGTTTGTGATTCGAGAGTTCTTAATTTCGTTTGTTTTAAATCTCTTGAGTAGAAAAAATGAAAATAAACTTTTTCATATCATCTATTTTTATAACGAAGTTTTCTTATAGCTAATAATTATATTTTATTAATTGCTCCACCTGAACGTGGTCATTTAAATCCAATTCTCGAATTAGCTAAACAATTAACATTTAATGGAACTGATAATAATACAGAAATACTTGTTAGTGTGCCGTCCTATGCTGATGTTAATGTT